TCTCTCTCTCTCTCCTCTCTCACTCTCTCTTAAAAAAAAAAAAGATTAAACTGTGGTGTAACTACTTTTTCTTTTTTGGGGGGGCGGGGTCACTGTTTTTTGTTTTCCCTGGTACCGAGCCTCACTGAACTACATCTCTAGACCTTTTCAAATTATTTTACTTTGAGACTAGAAAATAGGGTTTTGCCAAATTGCTCAAGCAGGCCTTGAACTTGTTGTGATCCTCCTGTCTGAGCTTCTTGAGTAACTGGAATCAGAGCACATGCTGCCACACTCAGCAGAATTTTTTTTTTTAACCATAGACAGTTCAGTTCATACATAGTGGATATTTCTGATTTAGCTAAAACCTAAAACTTGAATAAATGAGCAACTATTCATGAACCCTCCAGTTATACATATGCTCTTCCCTCTCTCCTGGAACATTTGTTTTCATCTGTGTATACTAAAAAATGGAACTATGCCTAAAGAAGGGAATATGGATTGGGAAGTCTTTCATTTTTACCCTATAAAGTCAAACACATTTAGGAGCCCTTATTTTGAGGTTTGTTTCTAATTCTAAGTTTCACTTTGATGGGCAGAAGAAAGATGACTATTATAAATTTCCTTTGTTATATTAATGCCTCCAAAACATTTTGTAATTCAGATATGGTCCCAGTAAAGGTATTCTGTGGGAATCATTTGGCAATGGGGGCATAGAGGATTGTGTGCAGGGCCTCATGAGTGCTAGCTAAATGCTTTGGTAGCACATGCAAGGCACTGAGTTCCATCCTCTGCACCACATTAAATAAATGAATGAATTTTTTTAAGCATCCTTAGTTTCAATCAAGTTTTAATTTTAAGACACAACTTTCTTGATAGACCAATTAAAAGTTCATTTATAACTCAAGACGAATTATTAAAGAAATAAGAAATGAGTGGGGCTGGGGTTGTGGCTTGGTGGTGGGGCGCTTGCCTAGCATGTGTGAGGCATTGGGTTTGATTCTCAACACGACATATTAATAAATAAAATAAAGGTCCATGACAACTAAAAAAAATTAAAAAAAAAAAAAAGAAATGAGTAAGTAATTTGTCAAAAAAAAAAAAAAGACTAGAAAATGGAACTACAGAATTTCTACTCCCCATTCTTAACTACTAACCAATCATGTGCCTTGTGCTTTAAAAAGGAAGGAACTTTTTAGACCCGGGATCATTTTTCAATGAGTGTCAGAAACCATCTAAACTACAATATCAAAGAGGTAACTGATAAGTTGTCTTTCCTCTCTAACGCTAAAACAATCCCTTTCTAAGATATTTGAACCCATGGCAGTATCTAACAGGATCTCAAATTTCAGCACAAGAGGTGGCCCCTTTCTCTGTGTGTTTGAAAACACTAAATAAAAGACCTCAGCCTTGTTGGTTAAGAATGGGTTGCAAAATGGTTAGAATAAAAGGGCTGAGGGATACCAATATTTACATCACAGCGGTGTGGGGTTTCGGATGTATCTTGGTAAAGAACTTAAGAGCCTCAGATCATAGAAGTCCAGATGTGCCAAGTGTTTTATGGGAAATGACAAACCTGCGTAGGCCAAAAAGGTGATGAGTGCAGCCAGCAGGTGGATACGAAGCTTGGTTCGGACCTCCTGGAACTGCAGCAGAGCGCTGTGGAAGATAAAGGAGCAGATGGCCTCTGTGATGATCGCTTGGGGTAAATCGGAATTGATGGGATTCTTGCAAGCCAAGTTCCTCTCGCTGAAGTGATACTTGGTCAGACCCAGGTTCCACAGGGCGCTTACACAGTACCTGCTGCACAGAGCGCTAACTAGCTGAGACGACAGCCTCACTGCACCCATCTCGGGGGACATTCCCCCCAGCATCATCTGCATCATCACGCCGCACGGATTGCCGGAAGTGCCCACCAGAGTCAGGCCATGCACCAACGAAAAGAAGTAGATTAGCGTCAGCGTCCAGGTGGGGTGCGCGGAGTCCTGCGC